ATTCCAGCTACATTAAAAAACGTAGCTGGAGTTAACGTACCTCAAGCCAAGCTTTGGCGAGGTCCTCGCAATGGGAGGTCAATGGGAGAAACGCTCCCATCGACTTCTCTTACTCTTCACGAGGAGTAGGATTTCCAGCATCGACGGGGTCACTTGATTTAGTGAGCCTTTACTAGACCTGCTAAATGGAACGCCAGAAGATTAACGGCCACAGAGTCGATCTCCGTAGCCTAGATGTGGCCTAAGCCTCATTGACCATGAATGTGATTCACATGCCTTTGTCTACACGTTAAATGGGTGAAACTTCGGTATGATGTGGCTAGTTTGCATACTCTTATTTCAGTTTAGCTCAAACGGAGCTAAGCTAAATAAATATAGATCAGGTTGATATCACTGTAAAGACGTGTGCACTGCAAGCTTCTTTCGGCTCAGCATGAACAATCCCCGAGCCCGGGTATAAATAGAAGCAGAGAGGGTGGGTGAGGCATGGTTTCTCCCACCCAAGCCCCCCCTCCCCATCTACAGTGCTAAAAGTAGCAGCGTAGCATCTCCAGTCTCTCTGCTACCGGAGCCTTCCCTCTCCTTGGTAAAAAGACTCCACTTTCCCCACTGCATCCCCAGTTCAAGCCATTCACAGACCCGTGTAGCTGCGCACCGCAGGGAGGAGGCAGCGTGTGTAGCGATGTGGGCCCCACATGTCGCTGCCAGTGGCGTGTAATGTGGATGGAGATCAACGTGTCCATGTTGCCTTTTGCACCAGTTTCACTCCTTCCATTTTAACGTGCACCTTGGTTAAACCCGCGCAGAGTCACAACTAAACAAGTCCCTGGACCTCTTCGGTGCCTCCAGATTCACCGTGGGGCCACAAGAGGAGTGTAGCAGGAAAAGCCACTCATGAGATGGGGGATAAAAGGGTGATCCAAAAGCAGGGAGTGGAGAGGAGGCATGACTAAGGCACTTACCTAGGATTTGGGAGTGCAGAGTTCAATCCCTACCCACTCCCCAAACTTCCACTGCGACCTCAGGCAAGCCTCTTAGTCTCTCTGTGCCTCAGTTCCCCTGCTGCAGGTGTGCTACTCTGTGAGGATGGGAGATGCTCAGATACTATGGAAACGGGGCCATAAGTACGGCAGATAGACCTGGCCAGGCAAGCAAATACCTACAACGCCACCATCATTAGGCTCATGGAGATTTGAGTGGCTAGGAGAATCAACAGCGCAGCAGATGTGCCAATGCTGCTAGAATCCGTTTGCCTTCTCCGAGCGTAAGGTTATAAAAAGACACGCTCCTTAAGATGGACCCAGCAGAGACGTCAACCGTGATTGCACTCGGACGGAGCGGGGCTGACACAGCTGCCTGCAGTCTGACTCTCAATGACGTGCAACCTCGCAGATTAGAGGGGTGCCTGCAGACAAGGCCAGCGCAACCTCCAGCCACAATGGAAACACAAAACCTAGGGTTCAGTCTTCACAGGCAAGCCGCCATCAGCACCCCGAGGCCGGAATTCTCCAGCTGTTTAGGCGAGTTCTAGAACCCTCCAGAGTCCATGCTGCTTTCTAAATAATCCTTTTACTCAATATATATGGGGGGAGGTGTTGCACAGAGAAAAACAAATATTAGCGATGGTAAAGGACACCCTCCCTTTCCCTAGCTCTCACATTAAAGACTAAACCGGGTGGGAAGATCACACATGCGGAGTAGCTAAGGTGTCATTTTATTTGCTCTCCTCATCTATAGGCATCGGATGCAGCAAAGGACTGAAGCACAATTTTTCTAAACATGCTGGATTTTAGGGAACCTCAGCTCCACAAGCCTGGCTTCGCAGGGTAGCGCCAGTCATGCTCCACTCGTGCCCCGTCTCTGACGCGGTCTGTACAGAGCAGAATCAGCTGCTCTGTCTCATCATTGGAGCTACGCATCGGCGGAGATACTGAGGTGCCCGAGTTGCAGAGGACTTATCCTTGCTGAGACACGTGTGATGCTCTCAGTGCTAAACACACATGGGGCAGGCTAGACACCTCCCCCAAAGTGGTGTCAACCCAAACACCCCATTTGTGAAAGGATCTGGCCTAAGCCAAAGCGGATTCTAGTCTCCGTTTGGTTTGGATGGGATGGTCAGAGAATTAAAATAACCAGAATTTCTTCATCTCACTCTCCCTTCGTGCCTCTGTCCTCTGGTTACCACTCTGCAGGCAAAGGAAGCCTCCTTCTACAACAAGGCTACTCAACTTTGGAAGCCCCAGGGGCCACAATGATACTCACAGCACATGGCGAGGGCCACAACTTAAGTGTGGTTGTATATACGTGCAAAAATATATATGCAAATATATGCAAATAGCTTCTTTCACACTGACGGGCATGAATACAAAGTTTAAGCTTTAAGTTGTGGCGCCGGACCCAAACGTGGCCAGTGCGAGCCAGTCAGCCCCTCTCAGGCTCTGCCCACAAGGCTAAGCAGCCAGCACTTCCCACAATGCCCTGGTGCTCCCAGCACCTCCTCCCTGGGGGCTGGAAATGCCAACACCCTGTACCTGTCTGTTCCAGTCAGCCCGTCTGCTTGCATCTTTCAATGCTCAGCCCGTCTGAGACACACCTCGTCGCCCATTCGCTTGCGTCTTTCAGTGCTCAGCCCGTCTGAGAGACACCTCGTCGTTGTGAAGCGTGCTCCCAGGGGAGGCCATGTTCAAAGGATCCCACCTGTGGGCCATGTGTTGAGCCCCGTGTAAACCTAAACCGCACCTCAGGCCACAAACAAACAGGCCACGGGCGGCCTGCGGGCTGCCTGTTGAGTAGCCCTACTCTACAATATCCCATGAACCACAAGGTCTTTGTGACAATTTCCCAGCAACAGTTAACGAGGTGCTAAGCAAACCCATTAGGCACAAAAGCTAACCTACTTCCAAAGCTGTCAAACCTGGGGGCAAGGTACCAAAAAGCCTAAATACCTACCCACCATGCAACAAACAGGGGAACAGCCCACCATTCTGTCACCAAAAATTAAACACATCCCATGGGGGGTAGGGGGCGGGGGAATCTCACATTGCGTCCTGTTGCACTATTCCTAAATTTACTGCCCCCTTCCTTGTGTGTGCGCACCAGTGGCAACAGGTGAAGTTGAAGGACCTGGATTTCTGTGCTGCAGCACATCAGTTACGCAAGTCAATACTTTACTACATGCTCATGTGAATTGTTCCACGGAGGACACCAGTGATTTAGGAGAGGAAACGAAGTCTCCACAATCCCTTTCTTAATGAAAGCAACACGAGGGATTGGTTTACACGTAACCAAGTGTTAATCCTTAGCCAGAGGCAAACCAGTAACTGAAGTGCTGAAACAAACACTTAATTCTGCATGGAACAAAGGGTAGAAAGAATTAAGCCTCGCCCCCAGCTCCCATGTTTAAATAAAAGTGGTGCGTACTTCTGAAAGTCAGCTTGTTGCAAAACAAAAGGAAAAAGCACGCATGAGTCTCCTGTTCATGTTATCTGCTTGCCATAAGCTTTCCGTTGTGACTCCGTGCTCTTGAAGCAGTTACTGTGTGTGCGCTACAGTGCAGTAGAGCAGTGATTATCTCAAGAGAACACTTCCTGAGTAAGACGGTATCTAGCTCTCTGGTGGCCGAAAACTCCCGTTAAGGGATATCTGCAGGGCTTACTGGGCTAAGATTAAACTCTCCTCTGAGTTTGGGGTTCGCTGGTAAGTACAGGTTGGACCTCCCCAAAACTGGGACATCCTCATCCAGCAACATCTGCGGTCTGGCAGGACCATGGGTGTTCCCACACCAGGGAGTCGTGGCTGGGAGACCCAGTGGCAAGAAGGCTGGAGGCTCGGAGCCTGGAGGAGCTGGGACCGGCGCCAGAGCCCTGGTAGCACAGCAGGGGCCTTGGCAGCTCCAGTAGCGGGGCTGGAGATGTGGTAGCCCCGATAGCGGGGTTAGGGCCAGGTAGTCCAGGCTGCCAGGGCCACAGGAGCATGACAGCTCAGCACGGAGGGGTTGGGGCCAGCAGTGGGGAGGGAAGGTGCTATCAGGAGACCTCCTCTAGTCCAGCAAATTCTCTTGTTCGGGACCGGCCAGGTCCCGAGGGGGCCGGACCAGAGAGGTCCAACCTGTACTTCCATTCCTCCAGCAGTCTGCTCCTTTCTCTTGTGAAATAAACAAGAGTTCTGATTTTAGGTCATGCAGCTAAACCCCCTTTTCCCAAGCTATTATTCCATTGGTGGGTCCTGCCACAGAGCAGGCAGCCGCACTGCATGGTGAGGATATTACAAAGAAAATGCCGTGCACAAGGTCTGGTGTGTACGGTGTCTGATTAAAAAAACAACCACCACCAATCCATTTTCGATATCCAGCCATTTTAAAAAGTGAAAGCCCATTAAAGTGGTTAGCGATGATTGGAATGCTTGGGCAAACAACCTTAAGAATACTCAAAGTATGGGAATGTACGTGGTGTGTTCAGCACTTCGCACAAAATCACCTGACTGGGGACGCTACGCTCCGCCCCCGTACCAGCCCACAACGCTGGTGGAAAATCTGGAGATCCTTCCAAACGCAAAATCAGGCACTGAAATCAACACCGGGCTTTGGATCTTTCCTGTTACCCTTACAATCCCCGCACAGCATGTCCGCTGACGTAGAACTCTGCGTAACAGAGTGGATGTAACGTGATGAGCATGCAAATCTAGGCATGTGCTTATTTATGATGAAGTACAGGCGACCCCTGCACTTACGACCTAAACCTCCTGGTTTCCTGGAGAACCGTCTTAAGTCAAGCCAGTCATAAGTCGAACCCTTATTTCCCATAGGCGCCATGTTATAAATGGCGGTTCCGTACCTAGAAACCCATTTCATACCCTAAAAATACCAACATTGACTATGGAAATGGAGAAAAACTAAACTAAATAGTTCCAATAAAGCACAAAAATAACTAAAAAGTGAAGACCGATGTGGCAGAGATGCATGCAGTTCAAGTAGCAGCTGCAGACTGGCGAGTATGACTGACCTTGTGCGTGTCCTGTTTTGGGATGATGCGTGGAGTCTGCGTCGTACGCTGTCGTAAATGCGACCTGTGGACATAAATTGGGGGATGTTAGGAGTTCTCTTGCATGAAAAATAATAGTCGTAAATGCGGGGGGTCGTAAGTCGGGCGGTTGTAAGTCGGGGGTCACCTGTAGCCATTTTCCTGGTCTCCCCGGCTCTATTTTCATATCCAAAAGGTATCCAGGCCAATATTAGTTTCAATGCTCTCCCTTCTTTTGCTACATAATATGCAGTAGATGGTTAGATAAATATTCACATTATTTTATTAAACCTTGATAGAAAAATTCTGTGGGCAGGGACAAGGGATGCTAAGTCCCGGACAAAGTAAAGGTTGTATTGGGAATCCTGGGATCCAACAAACACCCTCCCCAAACACAAATACCACACTCAAACACCCCTCAAACAGTCCATTGTCATTGCTGTTGGAAAAGCCTTCCCCAGAGATGGGGTACACGGACCTTATTGTATTTCCCTCCTGTGGTCACACCATGAAATTCAGTAGAACCTTTACTTAATAAAATGTTAAAGTTGGTTCACAAAAGAAGTGCATTTCCTCTTAGGCCTGTTGGTCACGGGTCGGTCGGATTGCAAAGTCGGGCTTCCCCTCTGCAAACAAACACTGGCAGTCAACAGCCGGGGCAACTCCGCCAACAAACGCTCATGCCGGGACAGCAGAGTTCACTCTGGAATGTTGCGTATCAAAAACCAAAGTGTTTCCGGGACATTTCTCCCACATCTCCCCTGGCTTATTACCAAACAGCTGCTGTTTCCCTTACTGTCCTGGCGACTTTTCCATCTTGCTGTGCCGGGCTCTAGGTTAAGGAATAGCCTGCAGGGGCTGCTTTCCTTCACAAGTTAAAAAAACCCAACCAATACACCCAGCTTTGCTGCCCTCTGCGCATTGCGGAGAAGGGACCTTGTTTTCCAGTGCTGGAGAGCAAGCCAAGTCTTCCTGACTGATCTTTAATATCCACACGCCGGGGGAAATTCTATTTCAGCCCACGCGCTGGTGACCTGCATGAGCAGCGCCGTTATCACAGCAAAACTGGCCAGGGCTACGTCTGCAAATATTCCACACCACAAAATCCTACAGTGAGCAGGAAGCCTGCCTGCATTGCCACGGTGCTGCTAGTGCAGAGGGATTTCAGCCCAGGAGGCTGTTTACTTCATATTGTTTATGATGTGTATTGTGGTAGCTCCGACCGGCCCCAGAGCTCTCTCCCTGACCCAAAGTGCTTCTAGTCTGTGTATAAAAGAGGAGACAAAACAGGTGGTAGCAACCAATGCATCTTCCCTTCCTCTCCTGATCTGTGGTGGGCTATTCCTGTGTGTGAAACAGCTATCTGGGATGCTATGAAAATGCCAAACAGCAACATCACCTCAGTGAGCCGGCCCCCTGGGGGACAGAAGGCTACCGGCATGTACCACGCTGGTATCCTTTCCCGGATTTCTTTCCCTGGTTGTTCCCTGCCATTTCTTCTAGAGCAGTGTTTCTTAAACTTTTTAAGACCGAGGAAACCAAACGATTTTTTTTTTAAATGAGGAACACCAAGGATTTTTTTGTTGAGGGGGGAGAGAGGGGGGAAAAAAGGGAGGGGGAGGAATTATTGAGGGGAAAAAGGGCCCTTTAAGGGTGGCCATTTTGAACTCTGTTATTCTCCGCGGCACACCTCCGACTGTCTCACTGGTATGCTGCAGAACACCCTTTAAGAAACACCGTTCCACTGTTCTCATGGAACTTGCGGAATGCATGAAAGGTGCGTGCCGGACACACCTGGAGACGGGGGTCTATTTATCTAGGAAAGGCCATCATAGGTTGTGTCCTGCCTCAGTCAGACTCACCGTTGTCTATTATAGCGTAAGCAATTTGGGGCAGGGAGGGTCTTTGTGAGGTATGTGCAGCGTCTCGTACAAAGGGAGCGTGATCTATGACGGGATGCTACACTAGACCGAGACGTCAAACCACAACCATGATAATAAACGTGGCAGCGCGACCCCCCCTTCCACCCTCCCCAGCCAAGGTGCATGAGCCCTACTCTGTGGCGCTAATGCTGTAAGTGAAATAACTAGTCAGTTCTCAAGCTCGTACGCAGTTCTGGGCACCACGTTTCAAGAAAGATGTGGAGAAGTTGGAGAAGGTCCATAGAAGAGCAACAAGAATGATTAAAGGTCTAGAGAACATGACCTATCAAGGAAGACTGAAAGAATTGGACTTGTTTAGTTTAGAAAGGAGAAGACTGAGAGGGGACATGATAGCAGTTTTCAGGTATCTAAAAGGGTATCACAAGGAGGAGGGAGAAAACTTGTTCATCTTGGCCTCTGAGGATAGAACAAGAAGGAATGGGCTTACACTGCAGCAAGGAACATTAGGAAAAACTTCCTAATTGTCAGGGTGATTAAACACTGGAATAAATTGCCCAGGGAGGTTGTGGAATCTCCACCTTGGAGATACTTAAGAGTAGGTTAGATAAATGTCTATCAGGGATGGTCTAGACAGTCCTGGGTCCTGCCATGAGGGCAGGGGACTGGACTCCATGACCTCTCGAGGTCCCTTCCAGACCTAGTGTTCTAGGATCCATGCTGGAACCAGCCCAAAGTGCCAATTAGAACCATAGAGCTGGAAGAGACCTCAGAAGGTCATCAAGTCCAGCCCCCTGCTCTAGGCAGGACCAATCCCAACTAAATCAACCCAGCCAGGGCTTTGTCAAGCCGAGACTTAAACACCTCTAGGGATGGAGACTCCACCCCCTCCCTAGGGAACCCATCCCAGTGCTTCACCACCCTCCTGGTGAAATAGTTTTTCCTAATATCCAACCTGAACCTCTCCCACCAGAACCTGAGACCATTGCTCCTTGTTCTGCCATCTGTCACTACTGAGAACAGCCTCTCTCCATCCTCTTTGGAACCTCCCTTCAGGAAGCTGAAGGCTGCTATCAAATCCCCCCTCACTCTTCGCTTCTGCAGACTAAACAGACCCAACTCCCTCAGCCTCTCCTCATAAGTCATATGCTCCAGCCCCCTAAGCATTTTGGTTGCCCTCCACTGGACCCTCTCCAATACGTCCACTTCCTTTTTGTAGTGGGGGGCCCAGAACTGGACACAATACTCCAGATGTGACCTCACCAGAGCCGAATAAAGGGAATAATCACATCTCTGGATCTGCTGGAAATGCTCCTCCTAATGCACCCTAATATGCCATTAGCCTTCTTGGCTACAAGGGCGCCCTGTTGACTCCTATCCAGCTTCTCATCCACGGTAACCCCCAGGTCCTGTTCTGCAGAACTACTACTTAGCTGGTTGGTCCCCAGCCTGTACCAATCCTTGGGATTCTTCCGTCCCACGTGCAGGACTCTGCACTTGTCCTTGTTGAACCTCATCAGATTTCTGATTGTGGCAATGCTTCTGTACAGTGCCCATTTCCCCCTCTCTGCCCCGGGCTGAGGCCACCAGCATGTTTTTAACTGGTTACCCAAGAGTTACCAAGTGATCATATTTGTGAGGCACTTCCAATCTGGAATGGACCCGACCGGGCAGCTGAGCAGCGAGAAACTCTGCTTCCCAATGACCATTCCCCTAGACCAGGGGTGGGCAATAATTTTTGACTGGGGGACACTTCAGAAATTTTTGATGTGGCCCCGGGCTGCCCTAGAAGGGGCGGGGCCTCGGGTGGAAGGGGCGGGGCCAGGCACTTCCATGCTTCCCCAGCCACAGGCTCTGATTGGGGGAGCAGGTGAAGTCTTTGCCCCCACTGTCCCTCCCCAGAGAGCCACCAGCTGTTCTGAACAGCTGGCAGCTCCCTCTAGGTTCCCATGCCTCTGATGTTGGGAGGAGACTTCACACCCGCCCCTCCACCCCCCAGCCAATCAGAGCCAGGGGAAGGATGCAAAGTCTCCTCCTGCCCTGCCCAGTTCCTGCAAGGAGTGCACGGTACTTCTAAGCACCACGTGCTCCCTGCAGGACGGGAGCAGGGCGAGAGGAGACTTTGCGCACTCCCTCCGCCGCCAAGCCCTGATTGGCCTGGGGGAGCGTGTGAAGTCTCTTGCTCCCAGCCCTTGGCACGCGGGTCTTAGAGTCAACCACCAGGGTTGCACACTCCCTGGTCCCTAGGCCCTGATTGGCTTGGGGGCAGGAGAGCAGCAGGGTCTCCGCAGGCCAGAACCTGCTTGGGGGGGCTTGATCTGGCCCACAGAGGCCCTTTAGCTCACCCCTGCCCTAGAAACTCCAGCCTTGATTTTTTGTATTAGTGCAACTTTATAGCCAGGGTTTGTGTGTTGGTACAAACTCACAAGGGCTGTATGGGCTTTGCCAGGCTCAACAGGTGAGGCCGTGTCAATGGGCATCTCCCAGTTGTTCTCAGGAAAAGCACGATCCTTCTCATCATCCTGCAATCTCGATTTCTGTGAACGTCCTCAACAACTGCTGCAGGGCCGGCTCGAAGCAATGAGGGTCTGCCACGGTCTGACTCTTCCTTACAGGATATGAATCAATCCCACTCATGCGTACCATACGTTTGAAATAACCTGGATTTTAAAAATGCTGGCCCCAGATGGTTCAGTGACCGCCGGAGACATGGCTGACCAAGACAACGGAGCTATTAGTCAAGGACTGATAAAGTGGATCTGAGATATAGGTGAGAGGATTATTCTAGGAGCGGGTGGGTGAGATTCTGTGGCCTGCATTGTGCAGGGGGTCAGACTAGATGATCATAATGGTCCCTTCTGACCTTAAAGTCTATGAGTCTATGACATGAAACCTACCCTGTACCATCACTTCTGACCTTAAAGTCTATGAGTCTTTGACATGAAACCTTCTTCTAGTGTGGAATTGCAACCATGTATGAATGGCATTACACAACCCCGCTCTGTATGGAAACATGAGAACCTAGAAAGGGAAACGGAGGGCCCAAAGCACACCTCGTACCCTGAGAGGAGCACTCCTGGGCAGTCAACGGGAGAGAGAAATGCAGACAGAGCGAGTGTTGGGTAATATATAGAATATTGGACTGGTTCTAGTCCCAGTTCTGACCAGCTGG